GCCTCAGGGTGCTGAGACACAGAGGATTCAAAAGACACTCTTTATTTCTTTGTCAGGATGAATCTTTGGGAAGCAGCAAAACAAACAGGTTTAAAAATTAATCTGAGAAAGATGCAGGTACTTTATGATCGGTGACGACAAAAGATCCACAAAGAGGCAGCGATGAGGATTTTATGATGTCTATTTATTTTTCAAAATGAGGTATTTCAAAGTGCTATGAGTTGCAGCACTAAATGTACATTTTAAAAATGAAAAAAACAAACATCTTATATCCGTTTACCCAGTTCTATGCACCCGATAGTTACAAATATAAACAAAAGAGGAAGAAAGAAAAAGGCCAGGTACATGAGGATAGAACACATTTGCTGTACAAAAGGAATTACTTTGAGATAGAAGAAAAGAAATGACGAGATAAAGTGATATCTACCGAGAACTCATTTTCATACGAAAATATAAGTATCAAATTTAGTATGTATCAGGTTCACACTAAAAGCATAAAGGTGTGTAGAATTAGTAATATGATACAATACAAAGAAAAAGAAGAGAAAAAAAAACAATATATTGTTATATTACAAAGTTTCATGACTCTCAAAAATCGAGGCCTTACAGTACTTTTTAAAGGTATATAAACTTCCAGTCTAGTTATTGGCAGCTTCCTGACATGTATAAAAAAAAATAAAAAAAAACAAGGACAAAATGTATTACAAAACAAGGCAGATCTGAGTGTATTTTTGTCTGTACACTATTGTTATATACAAAAGTGTCGGCTAGCAAGGTGCACAGTTATACATCCACTGACTTGGTTTGAGCACCAGTGTGAGAGGAGTGAGAGAGAGAGAACCTGTAGTGGCTTTGTTTACGTGACCCATTACGCCTCAGTCGTCGTAGTCTCTTCAGTTGTTTTTTTTTTTTTTGCAGTGGTGAAGGCAAAGTAAATGTGCACTGCTTCTTGTACGTGAAACTCTCCAAGCAAAGTGCCCTCGAACACCCGTCCCCGTGGGAATCACCTGATTCCGGGCTGGTGTCACAGTGAGTACAAAAAAAACAAAAAAAAAACAAGATACAAATAGAAATGATATAAAAACCAGAGGAAGGGAAGACTATAAAACAAAAGTGTGTCCTCGCTCCTTCCTCCATCTTTTTTTTTCTTTCGATCTTTCTATCTTTCCTCAATGTGACTCGATTGGAAAAAAGTAAACCCTAAACATTCTTAATGTCAACAAATGTGCAAAAAAAGTGGCGGCAGTGAAAGTCCGAGCATCCCTCCAGCAACCCCCCCCCTCCTCTTCCTCCTCCTCCAGGTGTGTGCCGGCATCTGAAGATAAACATCCTCTGAGATATTGTGTTTGTGTGTGCACATATACAACAGATATGCAGGCCTGTGTGTCTGTGCTGAAGTGTAAAGGCCTGTGTGTGGGTGTGTGTCAGACTGAGTTGAGACAAGAGGGGGGTCATCCAGGATATATTGAGTGTTTCTGTGTTGTATCGGTTGTCTGTTAGCGAGTCCTTGCCTGCTCCAGCCTGCGCATCAGCTGCTGCCTGCGGGCCTGGAGTCTGTCCTTGTCCCGCTGGAGCCTCATCTCCTCCGTCTCCAGCGAGCTCACGTACTCTGTGGCCTTCTTCAGGATCAGCACCTTCGCCGCCTTCTCGTTGTGAGCCAGCTCCGGCACGTGGTCGCGTAGTGTCAGGAAGCTGGAGCGCAGGTCGTTTCGGCGCTGGCGCTCCAGGATGTTGTGGTTACGCCTGCGCTCGCTGTCCTCTGAGTCGGAGCTGCCGCGCGGGCTGCTGTCCCCGCTGGTGCTGCGCTTGCTGCGTGCCCCCGATGTGCTGGTGACTGAGCTGCAGGACATGGAGGAAGACAAGGAGGATGAAGAGATGGTTCTGGTGGAGGGTCGAGGGGCGTCTGATGTTTTTTGCTTCTTTGGAGGTGGCGTGGGATCGTCGTCTGAGGCGTACGGTGAGGGGGCTGCGTAGTTGTGTTGCTGCTGATGGACAGAGCTCCTCTTCAGGATCAGCTCTTGAGGGGCTCGGCTGACGAACCGGCTCACCACGCCGGACACCGAGACGCCTCCTCTCGCTTCTTGACACTTGGGATGCACAGAGATAGTGACGGTGCCTGTCGCCATGGGTGATGCCTTGTTGATTGTGGAGCGCCTCTTCTCTACTGTGACCACATCAATCTCCTCTTCCTCCTCATCGTCCTCCTCTTCGTCCTCTTCCTCATCCTCGTCGTCCTCGTCCTCTCCCTCATCTGCTTCGTCGTCATCTTCGTCTTCTGGGAAAAGAAAACAGAATGTTAGTGACTTAATCGCTCTGACACACAAGCATTTTCGCTATGTCATCGATGTGTACCAGCGGGTGACAGGTATGTGTGTGAGCGTGTACGTGGGAGTGAGATCGAGAGAGAGTGTGTGTGGGAGTGAACTAGTTGCTCAACGCTGTTTGCATTAGCAGAAAACCCCTTAATGCTTAGTGTCAGTCACTCAACTCATCTACTCTGCAGGCGTTGACACGTTCAGTTTCAGTGCTGAGCAGACAGCCTGGATTTCTGCCTTTCATTCTCTCCTCCTCCTTCAAAATCTCTCCTAATCTTCTCCGGTGAGACGAGACACTTTAAGTCAGATGCCGACTCAGTCTATCAGCGCAGCTGCAGTCACGCTGACTGTGTGCGATAGTCGCTCAGGCATTCAAGGACTTTAACTAAACTCTGACCCGCGGTGAAGTTAGAAAATCGAATCTTACGACGAGCTGAGCTCCTCCATCTTAATACCTGTGCGGAAATCGAGCCGAGCAGCTGCGACTTATCATCCGCCCGGCACCTTTGAGGATGAGAGGAAGTGGCCAATCCTGAGGCAGGAGCGTGTGAGGCCCAGTTAAAACGCCTTTGTGATAATGGTTGTCATTATCAGCTCAGGAGCATCTGAAGAGTGTGGCATTTTACAGCTGACAGTAACCCACTTCAGACGCCGCTGCACCAGGATACTGTCTCAACACACACACTCTACAAACACACACACACACACACACACACACACACACACACACACACACACACACACACACACACACAGGCTGGTGCTGCCATCAAAACAAAGCCTGGCACAGCTGGGTGGATGTGGGGGGGCGTGGCTAGCTTTGCCACATGTGAGGGTTGGGATTTAGCTGTTTGGCATTTCACTCTCTGAATGGAACAGCTCATTTATTGGGGTTGAGGAGTATAAATAGAAGAAAGAGCAGAAAACATCTGCCCGGGGAGATAAAACATCAGCCTAAAGTGAGAACTGAAGTCCTCCTTCTATAGGAGCAAAATCCCCTGGCGTCCCCTTGGCACTGTACTCCTAATGTTTGACGAGTGATGGAGGTCCCCTTGTAGCTTTTCAAAGTCTGTGTTTCTGCGATGAAATAGTAAAGAACTGCTCAACAACACAGGAGGACGCGTCTCAGCGCTTGGAGCGACGGAAGCGCAGTGGGGAGGTGCTGTGCGCGGGATGTTCGGGTGGCAGGCGATCGGATCACCACCCATTTTTTAAGCCTAGGAGCTGGAGCGGCGCCAGGGAGACAGCTGTCGAGAGGGAGCGCTTGTTCAAAGCTGTCACCCCACCCCCCTCCCACCCCTCCTAAAAAAGAAGAAGCCCGGGCCCTCCTCCGTCCTCTTTTCTTCCCCGTGGAGGAGGTGTTTGGCAGGGCCGGCTGAGTCTGCCCTCTGTGCCAAGCTGGAGGCCTTTGTACTCCTGCGCCACAGCGAAAACACGCTGATAAGGACTCGTGAGTGTTTGTTTAGGAAACTCATGGGCAGTAATAGATGGGAGATGAAGTCTTAGGGCGATTGAACACACACACACACATACACAGCTCTCATTTCCGAATCCAAACACATAACCACTTCCTACACGATTCCCTCTAAAGACGATGGTAAAATACAAGCGCGTCAGTCTGCGTTTCTATTCTTGTCTGACCAAGAGCTAATTTCACCTGTGTGGTAATTCGTACACTGACTAAAAGAAGTGCCCACTTCTCCCCCACTGCGCGCAAATTGTCCATTAATCCATGCGTAATGAAAAGCTTTCACGGCACAGTGAACCACCAGACACTTTATCAGCTCATCACATTATTGAAACACCTTTTCATCTCCTCCTCCTTCTACAGCCTGGTCCAAGTAAGGTCAGTGTGTGTGTGTTTGTGCGCGCGCAGGCGTGTGTGGTGCGTTATTGTTTGGCTCAGATGACAACCGAGCTCAGTAAGAGACACAATTCCCCATTTTACTGCCATCTGCCGGATGAAGAGCCCGCTGATTACATAAACCTCGTTCACTGTGTCACTTCTCCACCGTGTGTGCGCGTGTGTGTGTGTGTGCGCGCGCGTGGTTGTGTGTATTACGGGAATGTAAAGAGGTAATCCGATTCTGGGCCAGTCATATGAACAAGCTCCAGTCACTCCTAATAGGCAGGGTAGTGGATGATAATAATAATAATGATGATGATCTTTATTATATCTATGATGATGATAATATTAATAATGTGTTGAGGTTTATCTTGTCATTAGTATTTGCTTATAAAAAAACGTAAACAAAGGCTTTTAGCGCATCTTCAGATTCTTACCAGAGTCACTGGATACGCTCCCGTGGTCTGTGGATGTGTTTACGGTCCCGGGTAAGTCTCTGCTGCAGTTCTTCTTGTTCACCGGGAAAGGGAACACTACCGCGGGGTCCACGCACTCTGTCATCGAGCTGCTGCTGCTGCTGACCACCTCCGGCGCCTTGACGCACACGCTCCTGCCTCCCGCCGTGGCCGTGGAAATAGCCTTCCCGAGTTTCTCCGTGACCACCCGCTCCAGCTTTTCCCTGGCGGAGAAGCCACTCCACATACAGTCCTGGATAATGATGCTGTTGGGGTTAGTAGTATCCAAAGCGGAGCCGAACAGGTCCCCATCGTCGGACGCCCCCCAGATATCATCCTCTGGCAGCAGCAGCAGCTCGGAAGCCCAGTCCAGGGGGTCCCCCAAACCGAAGCCCAAAGGGTCTGCTTCCGGGTCGGCAGTCGCCGGCTCCCCCGATAGAGCGGCTCGGCTCGGGGAGAGGGGCGGAGTGGGCAGCAACTCGAATTTCTTCCAGATGTCCTCACCCGGTGGCGCAGCGTCGGGACCACAGAAGTAGAAGTCGTCCTCATCCGGAAAGAAACACGGTTGTAAGGAGTCAAACTCCAAATCGGAGTTTTTACTTATCGTCGGCATTCTCTCCCACAATTGTAAAACCTGTAAAGGAACAAAAGACACTTTTAGTGTCCATCATGAGGCAGCGTCTCTCCCTCTCTCCATTCCCCCTGTCCTCTGTATCACACCTGAAAACTGCCCTGTGGAAGGAGCATGAATCAAAGCCCACACACAGACACACAGTCTGCTCCACTGAATTCCACACTCACTCATCTGTGAGCTTTTAAAGCCGCACAAATCTCACAGGAGAATATGCGTAAATGTGACCGTGACGCACAAACTCGTGCCAAAGGACGCACTGGGTCAGCGCTCAGCAAACACTCCAGAAAATGTGACCGTGGCATAAAAAAAATGGAAATGCAACAATTTAAATCTACCAGAGGAAATGTTTATGTCACAGAAATAATAACACGTTTCCGTTTTTAGAAGATGAGAGGATGCTCACCTCGTCCTGACTTTGGATGATAGTGCGCGAACCAATTTTTCCTCGTATATCTCGCAGTCAGTGGTACAGACACCAGATTTGTTGCAGTCATCTACTTTGGGAGCACAGACAGTCCTCTGACACACATTGTGGCTGGCTGCAGTGTGTTATACACTCAGTTCTGCGGGGAGGAAAATAGACTCCTCCCTCACAGGCTGGGAGGAGGAGGAGGAGGAGGAGGAGGAGGAGGCGGTGGTACAGTCGGGGCTTTGGGTTTTGATGCAACGCGGGAGACAGGCTGGCTGGGAGCTTTCTTTCAAGGTGAATCGAGGAATACAGCCTAAACAGTGCGAGGAGGAACGAAAGCAAACAAACGGAAAGAAAGGGATGAAAACAGAGAGAGTGGATAAGAATGTAGAGAAATGAAGGAGGCAAAAACAAAAGAAAGGAAAAAAGGAGGAACACAAAGTTCAAAATAGAGAAAAAGAATGATGTGTTATCGGTAGCCTCGGGCGAACTGTCTTTTCTCTCCCCTCTTCTCTCCGTTGGGACGATCAGCCAAGGAGCAGTCGAAGTATCACCTCGGGGCTGTTAGTGATTTGATGTCTTGGCCAGGTTGCTCAAGGGCACTGCAGCAGCAAACTGGATGCTGCTGTTGTTTCTGGCCCTGGGGACTCGAACCGTCCATGTTTTTAACCCCCCCACATAAACACACACAGAACAAGACGCACACTCACTATGCATGTATTTATTACATCAATCAAAACAATGAGTTGTTGTGAGGACGTGTTGAAATAGTAAACGCGTGTTTATTTTAGTCTGGATTAGATTAATCAACATGTTTTAAAGTAATAATGATTGAGTGATAAAAATAATAATGATGATAATAAATATTTATGTTTATAAGAAATTGATAATCACACATAAATCCAACTTTTTACGCACGAGTGCCATTCATTTTCTCATGTACTGTCGAGGTATTTACTGTAGATATTCACTGTAGATATTTACTGTAGAGATATTTTCATCCCCACTGTCTCTGAATGTCTCTGAGTGTCTTTCTCTCTTTTGTCTGAGAGCCAGCAGCATCCCACTGGGCTCACTGCGCCCTCACACGGACGCATAGGGGACTGCAGACAATTACGCGCACCACAGGCTGAGCGACCCAGACAGACAAAGACATAAAATCTCAGAGTGAACAGAAAGAGAGAGAGAGAAAAAAAACAACAAACTCCTCTTCGGCCACAAGGAGCAGCGTTTGTTTTTCCAACCTCTCTCTCTCTCTCTCTCTCTCTCTCTCAGACAATGGAAGAGCAGGACGCAGCCGTTTGCAGCTGCCTCCGGAATAAGACGAGGATCCGAGAGGAGCGTGTTACGTAACCGCAAGCGGTGGTTGTAGCCTGGAGTCATTCCCATTCCCTTTTCTAATGACAGCTTAGGAGGAATGGCGCATCTGTAATTATGCGCACAGGCGCGCGCACACACACTCACACACAGATCCTGATAGTGACTTATTCAGGGAAAACGTTGACAAAATGGATTCCGGTTGATCTCCAGCTGTGAGCAGTGTCCAGTTATTTCCAGTCAGACAATGGCTCATGATGCGTCAGAAAAAAAAAAAGAACACTGTCATTTCTTTTCACTTTAAATTAAACATGTGTCTTATATTAAATCATAAAATGTGGAAATGAATGAAGACAAAAGTGAGAAACTCGTGAATTTAGTAATAATATTATCTAACACGAGAGACACACTTTTAAGTCTCTGCTTGTTTTTTTCTTTTCTTTCCTAATTCTGGGTCGAGTTCAAACGACCAGTGAAAAGTGAGAATGTGCAGCTGTTTTGTCCTCGGAGTAGGAATAGCAGGGAGTTTCCAGCCAGCTCCCAGGAACTGAGGAGATGGTTTGAGAGTCAGAAAACTCCCCACAGGCTCTGGTCCGTCCGCTGTGTTTCCAAACTACTGTTCAGCTCTGACCCTTTAAGCAGCAGCGGCAGGAGCAGCTTCCTCTGCTGTGAAACAAGACAGAGAGTGGGAGTGAGAACAGAGGGGAAAGTATTTTTTTTTTTTGTCCAGTGCTGATCGGGTGAGGACAGGAAGCTGAATATACTGCCACTTGTTTTCTAAGCACATGGTTGGAGGAATATTGGCTTTGTGCTGTCGTGGAGTGTCTGGGGCTACATCCACTTCACATTTTCATGTGTTCATTGTTTTTCCAGCTAAAACGGTCTCAGTCCAAATAAGGTTTTTGGCTCAGTTTTAATCCCACTCCATACTAACACACTGTATGTCGTGCTCATGCCAGTGTAGACAGGAAAGACAAGCCGTAAGGAAAGACAATAGAGCCAGCAACGCTTGTAATTGATTATCCATGTTGCGTTCTGCAGTGTTGCCGAGGCTAAAGCCGGTTGTTTTCTTCCGGGCGGGGGTCATGTGATCACGTGAAGATTACGTTGTGACCAGAAAGACAATCAGAAAACATATGTCATCGTTTCCACACATTTCAATTTCTGCCCGTCCAGACTAAACCAAACTAAAACGGGGGCAGCAACAATTCAAAACTTCTCAGCGGCTCTAAAACTAAGTGTGGACGCCGGGCGCATCCATGGCAGAGAAGATTCGTTTTCAGTAGTAGTATGAATGAAAATGATGAAGGCAGATCACACAGTCTGCACACGTTCACTCACTGCAATTGCCCCAGATGCTATGGTATGAGCGTCACATCTGCTTATAGCTGATTTGTATTCATACCTAGTCAAACCCCTCCATCTTCCTGAACACATGCATTAAACTATATGGAAATACTCATGCTACCTAATTGCAGCTTTTTAGATCCCTGTTGTTATTATGGCTCAATATGTAATCAAACTGTCTCCTTCAGTATGATTACCTGTGGACACACAAAAGTGGACAGAGAGACACGGGGGAAAAAAAGAAAAAAGACTTGTCAGAGGAAGAACAACACTGGCGTCTTTGCCTGTTGTTTTTATGACAGTAATGGCATGCCCAGTCTCCCTCCCACCATTCACCACTGGACCGGGACATGGATGGTTAAGCAATTAGGCCAGTTTTGATAAAAGATKCATAAGTCACCCCAGTGGACAGAGCAAAGACAAGCATTCTGTGGGTGAATGTCTACTGCAGCGACTTCAGTACTCAAGAGAACACGCATATCATGTCCTATCGCATCTGTAGCGGGTGAATTGCGTGTTGTCTGTGGATGTGTAGGTCCTTGCTGATGTCTGTAGTTTTGTTTTCAGTGTGGAAGGGATGCGGCGACTGACCCGAAAAACACGCAGCACGTTGAATCCAGTTGTCACGTCACCTCAGTTCACCCATGAGATGAGAGTATACATCTTATCTGTGGAGACTCTCAGTCATCCAGGTCACGGTATCTGCACGAGTTGTAAAAGTGCAGCTGGCCGAGATAATGTGGACGACACCTGGGTCCAAATCCAAACACAGGAAGTTGACGCCTTCTAAGGAAACTTCAATGCAGTGGGTAAAATATTAAGTTCACTTTTTAGGAAGTCAGAGGAAACAGTCTGGATTGTGGAAACAGAAGCTCAACGTCCAAGTGTATAGAAACACACACACACACACAGATGTGAGAGGTTGTGTTACATGTACCTGAATGTACGTATGTCTCCCGAGCACTTTATGTCTATTATTTTTGTGCAGCAGCCTTTATGTCCAAGACAAATTTCCCTGGAGACAAATAAGGTAATCTTGAATCTCAACTCTGCTACGTTGTGGTTAGCACTGTAGCCTCGCAGTAAGAGGGTTCTCGGTTCGAATCGTTTCTGTGTGGAGTTGACATGTTCTCGCTGTGTGTGCCTGGGCTTCCTCCTGCAGACCAGAGACCTGCAGATTGGGGTTGGGTTAATTGCAGACTCTAAGCTGACCGTAGACTGTGAGTGTGAATGGTTGTTTGTCCCTGTGATACACTGACACCGTGTCCAGGTTGTACCCTCTCGCCCAATTAGTCGGCTGTGAATGGCTCCAGCCCGAGACCCGTACAGGATAAAGATGATGGATCTGCTGTTATTTTTTCACTTTATCCATTTAATAAGCACTCGTCGAGTAAATTCAATGACTGCAGCTTAGATGTGAATAGTTAGTTCATAGCCCAACTCCAAACTGGCACTGCTCTTGTTTTTATAACATCAGTTAGGAAGTGTTGATGTTGCCCTCGTCGTTTAAAGAAGAATCTGTTTTGTATCCTCCGTTTACTGTAAAAATCTAAACGTGCACGAGCCTCAGCTGATGAATCATGTGAGAAGAAGCTGTTTATTTTTAATGCCAATAGTGACTTCATCAAGATTTTGCAACAGATTTAAGCCTCGCAGAGAAAAGCAGGAGCGAGTTGCAACAAAGCCCAGAGGAACTGGTGTGAGATCTTAATTCCTCCAATTCCTTGGTGATCAACCCGAGCATAAATAAACTCTTTCAGTGATCGTAAAGTTATTTTCAATATAAACCAATGTGACAAATGAGCTCCGAGGAGAAAAAAAACATTTGTTTTTCCCATCTCGTCTATTTTTACAGGAATTTTTCCCATCAAGTTTATTTCGGGAAGAATAACCATGACAAAGTATTTTGGCGCTTTTGATATTTGGATTTTGAGAGTGCCAGAAGTGTGCCTCTGTGAAGGAAGTGGGGTTTGTCTTGTTAGATCTTGCCCTCTCTGTCTCTTAAGTTCCCCTGCAGCTCTACCTGTGCAATTAAACCGGCAGATCAGATGATTCATGCGGGACATAAACAGCACTTTTTTCTCTTGAGTAATGCTTGTGAATATTACCACCAGGATTCCTGGTGCGTTCCATTCCACCCAGCTTAATCCTTCCTTTGTCACAACAGCAAATTGAGTTTGGAGATGGTTAAAACTGAATATTAAAGCGCACCCCTTTATATGCCTGTATGTGTAGAAAGTATATTTTGCAGGAGAGCTAATTTATACAGCTATATCTCATCGGTTAGAATATTAAGTACCGTCAGCAAAGCCACTGTGTCATCATAACATCGTGTAGATTTATCTCAGGATGAGCCTGAATGCAGGTTTGCTTTGCTTATGTCATTGCCGTTAAGGAAGTTCCAGACAGGCTACATTAACTGGAAGAAATGCAGTTACCTACCGGTGGAGCAGGTGAAGAATGCA